GAGATCGTGGTAAAGTTTGATTGGCTAACCAGGAGTGGCAATGCCCATAGTAAGCTGAGAATTGTGAATTGATATAACATAAATAAAATCTTCCTGATTGACATCACACTGAGCTTCATTAGAGACTCCTCGGCTGCTTTCGAGCGATGGCGAAGACTGATGCAGCTTCATCCTGAGCTAAAAAGGGGTGAGATGGTCGCAGAGTTTCTGCTGGACAAGTATTTTTAATTTGCCTCTAATGAAACATAGGCTATAACGTTATATGGTTAAGTTATAAGTTTCAAAACTCCGGGGTTGCGCTTGACTTTGCAGGACAGGTAACGTTATGTTTAGTTTGCTTCTAATATAACATATAACGTTATGACAACATAGCATCCAGTTGCTAATGGCTAACGTTAGCCTACTGTAGCATAGCCTCTGAAACATTAACGTTATCTTCCTCGTGCGTTTCCACTTACTGGAAACATTATAAATGAAAGATTTTTTCATTTTTTGCTGTGATTAAACAAAAAAAAAAAAAGTACCAGGTAGCAAAAATGACCTAGCCCAGCATAGACCAAACTTTGCTCTCTGGTTGCCCAACTCAGCTGAGACTAGGAATTTGTTCAATTTGATTTATTTTTATTTAAAAGGGACCATGTATGGGTCAAAACATGAATGTTACCACTTGATGCACCGTACCAAATTGTAGCTTAGAGCTAATTCACATCTGCAGTCCCTTGGCAGGTCAGAAAAAAGACCCACCCTGTAACACAATATTAAGTTGTACACACACACACACACACACACACACACAAAACACAAGACAAAACAATACAATACAAAGCGACACACAATTGCACACAATATAAATGGAAAGGAATGAATGACGCCTACTGGTCCAGTTCTGGCTGCAGACGCTGCCATCACTGGGGTAGATCAGTGATTCAATAGTTCATTAAAGCTTCACACCTGCCCTCTGACTGTGACGCCCTTTATGTTATAGAGCCGCAGTTTATGTGCAATAAATGTGAAAAGATTGAGGACACGCTTGGAGCCACTCTGGGTTTGTGTTTTTCAGAGCACTCGGGCTTGTGTAGGAGTGAAACAAAGTTATGTGAGCTGCTGTGAAGATTGTGACAGAACTGGATCAGAGGTCAAAGTGTTGTGGGAGTTGTGGCGTTAGAAAGACACCAAGCGCAGAGAGGAGTGATGTTAGAGGGCACTTGTACTGTCAGGATAACGGCGACGCTGCAGCACGACCTCTGATTACAAAACTACTGAGTTCATCAAGCTGATGGCACATCTGGCTTAAATCCCTGATTTGGGAAGTTGCAGATGTGCGATCATCTTGAACGCGGGTGTTTCAGTTTGTGGTGCTGCGTTGTGAAATTGCAGCGCAAGAGTCTCGGCAAAGCACATTCCTGTCCAGTAGCCTTGAGTAAACCAGTACGCTGAGATACGCTGAGATACGCTGTGTATCTCCATGCCGTTCCTCCCCCCTCCCTTGCTCTCTCAGACCTCTCCTGAGGGTTTGTAAGGAAAAATAAATATTTTTAGACATTACGGTCCAGAGCTGCTGTCACTTCTCTTTTTTTCATTTTTCATGAACCCTAACCATGGGAAACACATATTCACCTCCCCCTTTCTCACTGTTCAGGCAGTCGCCTTGCCTTTGGCTTCCTACTGCCACCCATCAAAAAAAAAAAAAAAAAAAAAAAAAAGCTGCCCCCAGGGAGAGTGTCGCCATAGCAACTGCCTTCACCAGAGCAACTCCTCAAAGCATCCATCTGAGGTACATGTTGCAGCCCTAGGTTTCCACCGACAGAATAACCTGAGAGTTTATGTTTTGGGACAGAAAGGAGACTGGACGGCTCCCAGAGCGCGGAGAGCAAAGAAGAAGAAGGTGAAAGAAATAAAGCCACAGGGAGAGCACAGATGTCCAGCAGCTGATCAGCCTGACAGGGCCGCTTGAGAAGACGCACAACAGTGCAGCTTCACATTTAGACTCCCTCTTTCGTGCGATAAGATGACGGAAAGTTTACATGCTAAGCCGCGGTGATTTAGCGAACAAACCCTGCCCTGCATTAACAGCTGGCACACAGAGAATAGGCTTTTTCTTCTGAGAGAGCAGAAAACAGAGATGCTACCAACCTTCAGAAACTCTCTTCGACTCTGGGCCTCGAAAATGATGCGCGAGAAGAAGTTTATGGCAGAGTAAGCATCCAGGCAGGCAGCGCTGCGCTCTGGCACCGACACAAATGTGTAAACATCACTGCATAAACATTTACATTTTCTAACTGAACTTTGCCAAATTACTGTCCCCTCCTCAGGAGCATATGGCCTCCTTCTCTCACTCTCTGACACTGAAGTGTCAAAGATCAAATCTCATATCCCCGATCACAAGGGACCCTCTCCTAATCCACGCAGTCTGTTGTTAGGTTTCCATGCAGCCGCGGTGCATCGTGACGGCCACACTGTGCTTATTGTGTGCTTGTCGACCCACTGTTGTCTCACACAGCAGAGGAGCTATTAATAGCTCCATGCTCCCCAGTAGTTTAAATTCATCCAGCTCTCCTCTGAGTTGTAAATTGGAGCTGCACCACACTCTCGAGGCTCTCTTTTGTAACGTTGAGGGAAAAGAGACAAGCCAGGCTGTCATTAAGAGTTTTTTTTTTTTTCCTTCAGTTTACACTCGAGGAAGAGCAGGAAGCAGCTGCCAGTTTCACTTCCACCTCACTTCCTGTGTTGCTCCTCTGTGCAAGGCAAACAGCATCTACAAGACGTTGTTGTGGGTTGTATCTTGTCTGAAAAAAATGGTGCCTAAAATGAACACACAGGATGTTGATGATGATGATGATGACACAGAATCACAATGATGACTTGTTCTTTATATCTTTGAGTTAATTTTTAAATAACTGGATGGAATTAAAGATGGTTATACTTAAAGAGCGACGCTTTGTTATTTTACAGCAGAAATCAGAAGGAAACAAAACATCATAGTACATTTTATTTGGTGAAAAAAAAAAGTCAGAAGCAAGAGAACAGTAAGTAGTGCAATCTATTTCCTAAATTTAAAGGGATAGTTAGGATTTTTTGATGCTGGATTGTATGAGTTACTCATCCATAGTCAGTGTATTACATACAGTAGATGACAGTCAGTGCGCCGCCAGTTTGGAGAAGCAGAAGAAGTGCCAACACAGAGGCTAAGCAATGTATTGTTATAGATGGGGGTCGGCAGCAAAACGTATTTTAGCCACTTAAAAAAATCTGTCATTCATTCATTTTTATTTCTGTGTCATGCCATATTGTATATTTGGCCCATCCCTCATGGCATTACAAGACACCACTTTTTACAAAACGTACATCTTCCGGTCTTGTATACAAAACATGTGGAAAAAGAAAAAGAAACACAGACAATACACAGGTTTATATATATATAACATAACTATCATGTGTGTATACATTATCTTGATAAAGAGCTTTTTTCCTCTTCTCCCAGGCTTTCTCCACATACCAGGCTAATTTTTATGTTTCATATGTGAACAGCCAACTCAGTCTTTGTGCATCGTCCATATTCATAAAATCAGCGACCTTTCTTATAAACAAAACAAAACAAAACTTCACACAGTTCACAATACAAAGGACAGTCGAAAACAAAATGAAACTCATTTTCTACATCATTTAGACAACATTGGACAAATCCGCCTTTCTTCTTCTAAATTAACATACCGTCCATTTTCCACAGTCAAAGGTAAAATACCAGATCTCAGCTGGGCACATAAAGATCTCTGCTTTTTAGACAAATTATATACAACATGATTCTCTGTACCATATCCAGTTTTTATCCTCGTAAAAGTACGCAATTTTGGTTTAGTCCATATATCCTCAGCACGCTGTCCTTAGGTATTGACAAACCCAGAGCTACAAAATAATGTACGCACATCTTTAGACCAGGAACCAATATTTTGTTTATTTAAATATTTGCTTCGTCAGCCTACTTTCCTCCATATCAGGTAACTGATTCCATAACTGAACTATACATATATTACAGCGAACCTCACATGGTTCCCATCCCATGTCCCCCACTATAGCCAGCTTTGGAACATATTTGTGCACACCCAGGAAATATCTTATTATGCACTATTTTGTACTAATTCACACATAGAAATATTTCTGAGGCCCCTAACCCCAGCAGTATAATCGAGCACTGGACATACACAAGCATGAAACAGCTTTGAATATGTTTGGAAACTCATATCTTTCAAATTTTTACTCTTACCAATGATTCCTCCCAGAGCTCTACCTGCTGATTCAAAAAGAACTTTAACACCTTTTATAAAATTCATGTGTTCATCAACATAGAAACTGAGATATTTGTAAGAATCTGCATAATCCAGTTTATGTGATCAGTTCAAATGTTTGTTGTACTGAGATTTTACCACTTTAACTTTACGTCAGACAGCCTATTCTGAAAGGGAAGCTGATAACAGCTTCAGTTACCCATCTATGCTTTCATCAAAGCCAGACTCCATTGACAAAAGCAGTAATTTTGGTTCGCTCAACAAAGGAGCAGCTGGTCTACCTCTGCCTCGATCAGTGAGTTTGTTTGTGTTATTGTGTGACTTTAGTGAATCCAAAGTCACACAATAACACAAACAAACTAACAGATCAAGGCAGCAGTAGACCAGCAGCTGCTGTATTCAGCAATGTTAAATCACTATTTATCTCAATGGAGTCTGGCTTTGAAGAGAGCGATATAATGGCTTCTGTTCCCCATCAGAAATCACTGTCTGACAGCAAGATGAAGCAGTAAGAATATTCTCAATATAGTGTATACTTAAACTGATATTGGATTTTTTAGGTGACTGTAATACAATTTGCTGTTGTCCCTGCACAGCACTACAATGCTTTGCTTCTGTGTCGGTACTCTGCTGGCTATGGATAAGAACCTCATACAGCCCCACTTCAAAAAAATCCTAACTTTCTCTCAATGGGAAACATTTTGTGTCCCCTCACAGCCATCCATGAGTTTCCAGAAGACATTTTTACCAAGGAGCAGAGGAAGAAAGGTGCTGTGTGTCTGCATGCACTCTGTGTGAGTAACGCACATACTGTATTTTACAAACCAAGACCTACATAGCTAATTTATTTAATAAAAAGGCATCATGTGCATGTTTCCCTCTGCTCTCATATCTGTGCTCAACTGTTCTGTACAGGCGATCTACATGTTCTACGCTCTGGCCATCGTCTGTGACGACTACTTTGTCCCCTCCCTTGAGAAAATATCTGAGGTGAGCAAACAGCACCAGCCGTCCCCCATGTCAGTTTCTTACTTTCATGGATCCATGTTTGATTATTCTCTCCTTTTATTTAATCTTTCAGAACCTGCATCTCAGTGAAGATGTGGCCGGTGCGACATTTATGGCTGCAGGAAGCTCTGCTCCAGAGCTTTTCACCTCTCTCATTGGTAAGCAGCTCAGCCAATCATGACCAAGGAGCAATTTGGGGAAAGCATACAATTAGTTTTCACTGATTCTCAATATTTTAACAGAAATGCTGCATGGTCTTCCCATTCTTTGCAGTGCCAGAATCACCCAGGAGATGTCAGCAAAGTCTGATTCAAAACCTCCAAAGGGCTTTTCCTTATTTTAAGATGTTTACTTGGAGATCAGTGGCAATAAACTCCAAACACAGAGCTGGATGGGTGTGTTTCTGTGTGTAAATAATAACAAATGAAAAGGATAGGAGATGACAGACTGCAGGGATTTTATCTAATCTGAAACCAAACAAAGCCAGATAGCAAATCTCTCTGTCCCCCTGTGTCACCCGCCCTCAGGTGTCTTCATCACCAAAGGAGACGTTGGAGTCGGCACGATTGTTGGCTCTGCCGTCTTTAACATCCTGGTCATCATTGGCCTGAGTGGGATCTTTGCAGGCCAGGTGGGGGAAACTCTGAACAACCTCTTGCATGCAGTTGTTCCTGAATGAATGGACACTAACATTTCTAACTTTTCTCCACAGACAGTGGTTCTGACGTGGTGGTCCCTTTTTAGAGATTCCTCCTACTACATCCTCTCCGTACTGACTCTCATCATGGTAAGATGTGTTGTTGGTTAAAATAATAAATAACTGTGTGTTAATGGGAAAATTTGCAACCTTATATGTGGATGTTCAGTCAGTGCTGATGATAGAGGCAGTCCTCAGTGTGTGCTATATAGAAACCTGAGCTCTCCTGTTTGCAGAGCCGTGCCAGCAGTGCATACATGTGCATGGTGATGCTGTGTATCACTCCCCAACCCATAGATATACTTTTCTGGCTAATACGTAGCGTAAGGTGACAAAATTCTTACTGCCCTCTCTGCCCCACTGGTCTTGGTTGTCTTCTAGTTTATCCTCAAGATCCTGACGAGGGTCTCTAGCACACCTCTGTCCAGGTGAGAAATAAAACCTTCATGCACAGTAACACGAAAGGCTCTCTTGGGGTTGGCAACAACATCCAACAAAAAATGCCCACCCTGAAATTCAAAGCAGGAGAATGATTCAGTTTCTGTTTGCATCGCAGGGCAATTTGAGCAAAGGCACCACCAGTTGGGGTTTGCAGTCGGCAGCTTAGGTTCACAGCCTCGGCCTCTTTTTGCAACATTTCATCAGCTGTATACTTTGAACCATGTCGTCACCTGGCTCAAGAAAACACAAGCAATGTATTTTATTTCTAATATTTATATGATTGCCAAAAAAAATACAATTAATAATACATTTTGGCCAGATTTTTACATGGATAGTCAGTTGCGTCAATAATGTTCATGTGCAATTTCCTGTAGTGGTCCAAGTAATATGTGTTTGTGTACTCACGTAACATATGAGTTCAATTAATAGCCCGGGCTATTATTTGCTTAAATCACTGAAATCAACAGGCCTGTATTTGGGACAGGCCTTTAATCCCTTTCATACAAAACTGTTGCTCGGCAAAGATCAGGAAATACAATCAAATTGTTTATTCAAGCCAGTATGAATATTACTTGTATAAAAATTAGGCTTCAAATAACATATCAGTTATGAATCATTCATTTGATCTAGCTCCAACAGACAGCACATCAGAGAGAGAGGATTACGGCACCCAGCAGCAGCTTTATCCTGTTAAAACAATACTCACACCTTGGATTAATTTTTTATGAAAAACCCTTTTCATTCTTTTGATCTGAGGACCCGTACAGACTAAAGAAATATGAATAACTTACAGGGTAATCGAGGAATGGTCACATAATTTGAGGTAGCCAATAGCCCGCTTTTATACATCCAAAGAACTTCTGTCAAAAAAATGAGCTGCTTGGCAACCAGACCAGGCGTCTAATTGAGACAGACCTTTATTTGTCAAAATGTGTAGCCACACCGGGCTAGTAAAAGGGACTGGGTGTTTACTTGGGACTAGGCTTTTAATGGGTTTTATGGGAGCTTAACATGACCTGGATAAGGTCAAATACTGAAATACTGAATATCCTGTAAAACAGTGTGATTCCACTGGCAAATGTTTAGTAACACAAATGTAGATATGCTCCAGTTTTCCTGTTTTTGAAGCATTTATAACATAGTTTTTAAAGAAAATGTGTTTCATACTTTGGCATGCCATTTTTTTCTGTTGGAAACGCAGCTAGTGTGCAATGCAAGCAAAGCAAGTTCTTTTTTTGAGAGGCATCTAGAGCACGCCTCCTGGCTATCCGGAGGTGAAATCTAGCCTATAGTTCTCCTCTCTCCAGCTACGTCACTGTCAGAATAAATGATGTGGCTGGATTCAGGAAGAAAAGTAGATTTTGCAGCTGTAAACTCAGCTTTCTCGGTCAATGCAGCTCAATCACATTACCATCAACACTGACTGGATATCTTCATTATAGGTGGTGAATTTTCCCTTCAGTCTTTTACACCTCCACATTGTGTTTTGAAGAATCTCTTTGTTCCCTTCTCCAGGTTATCTATGATGCCACTGTTGTCTGGTGAGTCCACGCACCTGTTTGTTCTCTTCATACAATCACACAGGAGCTCTCCTCTGTATTCATACCGACACAGATCTACAAATTCATCTCTTTCTGCTCACGCTCTGATTGGTGTCAACTTCTCCAGCAAATGACTGTTATTACAATCACGAAGACGAGGGTGTTAACAATCACTGATGGTGTTAAATCGATTTGGTCCCTGATTCCTACTCGACAATAACAAAACATCTGAATACGTAATTCCAATCAGCTCATTTCAGAATCAGCAGAGGTGACGAGGAGCGAGCTCAGTTTAAAATCATCTGTGGCAAAATTACTTTTCATTTGTTTAATTTGTGTGGAGGAGGTTTCTGTCATCAGTGTCAGCCATTTCACACATGATTAATGATTTGGAGCTTAGCTGTTAGATTGATTTCTCTTGTGCAGCTTTTCCTTCTCAACAGGCTCATTTTGTGCTCTCAGTGCTTTGTTAGCTTCTTAGCTGCCTGTCCTGACTGTTGTCAGTTCTGTCGACCTGAGGCCTTTTGTAAAGAAATAACGGCTCTCCATTGTTGTGTGTGTCAGCACTTTTAATGAAAGAACAGATTTATATGTGGCTTTAATGTGGGTTTATCAGTGATATACTATGGCAGGCTGTTTATTGAATCGTAGTGTGCCAGGCCGAAGCTGTCCTGGTGTGTTTCACCTCACCACTGTTCTTTCTCAGTGCACTTTGTCAGATTTGTGTCTCAGTTCACTGAATGCTCTGAGTATTTGAGAAATGAGTCTGCACACATGCAGCAGTGGTCATCTAGGGTCTGTCTAGGCCTAGTGGAACAACTGTTTGCACAAGTGGTGTGGTGAAGTATTTCTCTGTGACATTTAAAGGTCTAGTGTGCAGGATTTAGGGGGATATATTGGCAGAAATGGAACATCATTTATGAGTCCTTTACTGCAGTGGTTCCCAACTGGTGGATTGCGGTCCAAAAGTGGGTTGAATGGACAGCAAGTGACTTGCAAACATGTCAAGTTTGTAAAAAACACATTTTATTTTTAAGCACAGTGCTTTTATTTTTGAAGTGCTGTAGAGTGAGTGACTAATGGACAGCTACTTAACAGAGACAGCAAACTAGCATGACGACATGGCCAAATGCCAAATGTGATGATCTGTGTGGACCTTGGACTGATCGCTAAGGAGAAATCTGGACCCTGGGGCTGGACCAGTTGGGATCCACTGCCTCGTCTCGTCGTCCTCCACTTATCCGGGTCCGGGTCGCGGGGGCAGCAGCCTCAGCAAAGAAGCCCAGACAGTCCTCTCCCCAGCCACCTCCGTCAGCTCTTCCGAGGGAACCCCGAGGCGTTCCCAGGCCAGCCGGGCGATGCAATCCCTCCAGCGTTTCCTGGGGCGGCCCCAAGGTCTCCTCCCGGTTGGACATGCCCAAAATACCTCCCAAGGGAGGCGTCCGGGAGGCATCCTTACCAGATGCCCGAACCACCTCAACTGGCTCCTCTCGATGTGGAGGAGCAGCAGCTCTACTCCGAGTCCCTCCCGGATGTCCGAGCTTCTCATCCTATCTCTAAGGCTGAGCCCAGCCACCCTGCGGAGGAAACTCATTTCGGCCGCTTGTACTCGTGATCCACTGCTTTAGTGTATAATCACCTGAAAATAAGAACTGTGTTTTTGTTATCTTAGAATGGGCTGTTTATGTCTACATAGGGAGCGGGTCCTCATCTACGGAGTCTGCCATGTTTCAACAGTAGCCCAGAATGGACAAACCAAACACTAGGCCATTAATTTTTTTTCCTGTTGCCACTGTAGTTATAAGCCTAGCTACAATGAGAGCATTGGAAAAACAGATTTTTTAAAGTGAAACTGTTGTATTCAGTGTTTCTAACAGTTTAAATCACCAGATTTGTTTGTTTTTAAGAGGAGGAGACATCTTCGTAACTTAAATGGGAATAAAATGATTCAATCTTGCAGCTCTACTAGACTTTCCAAATGTTATCAGACCAAAAAGATCAAATCCTGATTGTGAAATAAGTCATTTGGCTCAAAAAACTGTATCCACTGATTTACAGATGTCTCTCTCTCTCTCTCGCAGTTTAAGTCTAGAAAAAAATGACACCATGTTTCTATAGCAGCCCAGAACACACAAACCAAACGCTTCATAGGGCCAATTGCATTTTCACATCGGCTACCTTAGTCAGCAGCCCCTCTGTGACAAGCAGTGTCGGATAAACACAGATTTTTTAACGTGAAACTGCTTTATTGAGTGTTTTTACTTGTGTAGATCACCACGTTTGTTTGTTTTGGAGAGGAGGAGACCTCTATCGATAGATTGGCTCCTGGTCAAAATGTCCTGAACGTCTGGATCTTAAGCTACCAGAGGAAAAATGTGAGCACACATAGCAGGTGCTGGGCTAGAGGTCTGTCGCAAACAATTCAAAGAACACTGGAGATACACAGATTCGTAGCGTGGAACTGCTTTATTCAGTGTTTTAAGCATAATCACCTGGTCTGTTTGAGACCTCTGTGGATAATTCGGCTCTCAAAAATAATAAAAACCTCCTGAACAACGAACACTGAAGGACTTGTTACCAGAGGTTTCAGCTGGTTACAGTCTGCACTCCTCAGCACTAAATCCCCCTAAATCTCACACTTACATATAATAGAACGCCTGTTAGGTTCAGATCCTTTCCTACCAAGTTCAATGCTGATTAAGCCTATCACTGCCAGGGCAAGCTCACTATATTTCTCAGTGGAGTTGTGTTTACTGGTGTCTTGGGAGACTCTCCCGCGCTGGCATGCCGGAGGTGATGAGTTTTACAACAACCAGCCAGGGCATCAGGGGACAGGAAAGAGGAAGAGACCATGGTGACAGAGCAGCAGCTAGGAGCACGGTGGAAAAGTGTACAAGTAAAGTTTGTGTCGTGGGTGCTATGCAAAAAACAAACTCTGCATTCAGAGGAAGAATTGAATTTAAAAAAAAAGACTTGAAGAGAGCTCTCCTGGAGGCAGGGGAGATGCGGAGATGCATTAGAGGCATCAACAGTGTTTCTGCAGTTACACTCACTGTCACAGGGGGGTGACAAAATTCTGTTCTACAGCTTGAAAGCAAGACTGAAGGTTTACTTGGTGTATTATCTATGTTATATTTGATGTGAATGAATGTGCACACACTAACTGTGTAACTTTATGGTGTGTCAGACCGGGACTAACACAGATGTACTTTTTGCTGTGCAGGTGGGAGTCCTTGCTCCTCATGACCATGTATGGAATCTACATTATAATCATGAAGTAAGTGTAAGACCGAACAGTCATCATGCCTCCATCTGCACGCGTGTCTGCATTCTGACTGACGACAAACCCCATTTATGGTAAATATGGATGTAGGCAAATGGTATCTGTTTGGTTGCAGGTTCAACTCCCAGGTTCTGGCGTTTGTGACGCGACAGCTCAGGAGCTCCAGGCCATGCTGCTCCAAATCAGAGAACCACAGAGACGACAAGATGGGAGAGGATGCCTCTGCCTGCAACACCTCCATGGTGCTTCTCAACAAAGGTCAGAAGATGTTTGAATGATCTTTTGTTCTGTCCACACTGTGATATATACACAAGTTTAATCTACAACAATCTTTTCCCAGGCCAAGGTCACAGTCAGGAGGCTTCTCCAGTCATCATGGTGGATGAGCTTCTCATCCTCAACCCCCACAAACTGTCCTTCTCTGAGGCTGGCCTGCGCATCATGATCACCCCACATTTCTCCCCCCGCACCAGACTCTCCATGGCAGGACGCATGCTCATCAGTGAGGTATCTGATGCACATGTCACACACATTATAACACAACCCTCTCTGAGCTCTACAACAAAAAAAACATTCCTCTCTGCCCTTCTCACAGAGACAGAGGCTGATCCAGAGTTCGAAAAACCAGAGGGATGGCGAGGCCAGCCCCGGGTCAAGGACGGGATCAGCCAACAACAGCCTGAAGAGGACGGGCTCCTGCAGTCTGGAGAATGGAGGCAGGAGACCTGGGGTGGGAGACGCAGAGTCAGGAGACAAGCCGGGGGCTGAGGCGTGTCAGGCAGAGGAGGAGGAGGAGGAGGATGATGATGGGATATTTAGTCCTTTGCGCATACCAGGTGAGGAAGATCAGGCACAAACTGTTGATTACTCAGTGTCATATCTCAGGAACAGAAGGGGAGACATTTGGTCAGATGCTGAACTGGTGACAGTAATCTGGAAAGTGTGCAGATTATACAGATCTTCTGTGCTGTCAGTTAAAGATGTGTGAAGCATCCATGTTTTAGAATACGTAACTTCCTTGTGCATATGGCTGCTTATGAGTCTGGCAGAGATGGATGTAAACTGTAACTTCAACCTGAGTGGACAATTACAAGGCATTAATTCTAGTTTTAGATGTCACAGCCAATCCCTGGGTGATTAAACACCTTGTTAATTGTCATGACTACCATTTGCTCTTCTGACTGACCTCCTGCTCCTCACAGGTAGCTGCTGTGCGCGGATAAAGTGGGTAATCACGTGGCCTCTGGGCCTCCTGCTCTACTGCACTGTGCCTAACTGTATTCTGCCACGCTGGCACCGCTGGTTCATGGTCACCTTCGTGGCCTCCACCCTGTGGATCGCTGTCTTCTCCTACCTCATGGTGTGGATGGTAAGGAGGCAGAAGTTAATGCAGTAAAGATGACACTGTAACAACAAAAATGTATATAATCTTTATACTGATATGTATAGAAGTATATTAATTACAAGGGGTGGGAATCACCAGACGACCCATGATATGATATTATCACGATACTTACTGTAGGTCACTATACAATATTATTGCGATATTGTTACTTTTTTCCAACTGCAAATTATTTCCCCAAAGGAAAACTTTGTCAACATCAGTTTTACCTCATTAGATAAAGTTTTCAGTCTGTCCATCTGACTTTAATCACTTTTATTGCAGCAAAATGTGATGCAGAGCAGACAGACTGACCAACACTGTCATAAAACCTGTCAGAACTACTGCATACACCTGACAAACTGAACTGTTGGTAGATTTAATGTCCTCTGTGAGGTCAGATTAAGCGTGTGAGTGAAACATTTCACCTGCAGGTATCCTGCTATCTGGATGGCAGCATCCATGTTAGTAGTGTTGTCTGTTACAACCACAGCCCCCCATTCTTGTACTGCATTTTGCAGGAGGTCTGCGATGTTTGCTCTGGTGTGACTTTCGTGAAGAACGTGAGACAGCAGTCGCCAGTTCTCTGTGAGATAATGTGCCGTTTTATTCACATATGAATCCACTGACCTTGAAGTCCAGGCATCACAAGTTAATGCCACCCTTCCTGCTGTACTCAAAGATTCCCCAAGAGCTTGGGTACGGCTGTGTCGGTAAAAAAATGTCACATACTGGGTTCACCTTTTTTTAGCATATAACAAAAGCCTTTGTTTCAACAACGCTGTAGAGATGCAGATCTTTGCACATGAAGTCAGTGATGGACTGTTTTATTTTCTTAGCTCTCTCAGAGTTGGATGGTACTTTTGTCAAACTTATGTTTGTCCGGTGTTTAGTGTTAGCTTAGCCATCAGTGGCTACCACTATTTCTGGATGGTAGAGTGTGAGGTGAGCCTTCAGGTTCGTAGTATTCCCAGAGTATTTTATTCTCATATGACACTGCTTGCAAATCATATGTGTCATATCCAAGTCCCTCTTTCCTACCGTGTTAAATAACCCAAAATAAGTCCAGACGTCGATGGCACATTTCTGATTTTTTTTTTCTGTGGCACCTCCATCTTTGTTTTGATGAACTTCCTGCCAAATGCTGCTGACTGAGACCTCTGCTGACCTCACCAGGAAAAAAACATCAAAACCGTCTAGTGGACTGAAAAAGCAATTGATTTTATAATCCTAGTACCACAAGTAATATTAAAATGTGTATTTGCAATAATTAATTATGTATATAATAAAAGATCAATACTTGGCGTCCGTGTATGAATACAATATCACCACGAAAAATATCACAATACTACGCTGTATCGATTATTTCCCACCCCTGCTAATTACAAAAAAAAAAAAAAAAACAGGTGAAAGGTTTAACAGGACAGAGAGTGATTGTTATTAGAGGATGCACCACCTTAAAATGCTTCCTCTGTGTTTACTTAATGCTCTAATGCTTCTGTCAGGTCACCATCATCAGCCACACACTAGACATCCCAGACTACATCATGGGCATAACCTTCCTGGCCGCAGGGACCAGCGTGCCGGACTGCATGGCGAGTCTGATTGTAGCCCGACAAGGTAAAAAGCGTAAAGCTCGTTACTCTGAGTCTCCCAAGTCTTTTTGCCTGTTCTCTCTTTGTGGTGCGAGTGCTTCAGTTCAGCATTTCTCTGTCACTTTTCCCATCTCTTTTCAGGCATGGGGGACATGGCGGTGTCTAACTCCATAGGCAGCAATATCTTTGACATCCTGCTGGGTTTGGGTTTCCCCTGGGCTTTACGTACCCTTGTGGTGGACCACGGATCATCAGTGCGCATACACTCCATCTCCCTATAATACCAATCTCTTTTTTTTCTTTTGTTTGTGATTCACTGATGTCTGCATGTGTGTGAGAAGGCTAAACTGAGATGTTGGGTTTTCACCTTTGTTAGATGGTCATAAATTGTGACACCTGCTTCCCCTCCACCCACAGGTCTCCATAAATAATAAAGGACTGGTGTATTCTGTCATCCTGCTGCTGGCATCTGTGTTCCTGACGGTGAGGAAACAAGTTTAAACACATGCTGTATGCAGTATCCATAATGAATCAGACGCAGAGCATGTGTGAGGAAATAACCTAACATGGAAAAAGTGTGGTTGCTTTACAACGAGAATTTGAGGCCTTAACTGATATTAAAAATAATTTGAATCTCTTTTCTAGAGGCCTTATACTTATACCAAGAGTCTCTCTGTTTCCAGGTGATGAGTGTTCATCTGAACCGCTGGAGGCTGGATCGACGGCTGGGTCTGGGCCTGCTGTTTCTCTATGCCATCTTCCTGCTCTGCTCCATCCTCTTCGGGCAGATGTGAGGCCTTAAGGTCAAAAGTCAACCCCGTCAGACAGCATGATGAGTACCTACCTTTCCACCACACGTCCTCTTTCCTGAAGCCAAAAAGAGTGACAGCGTTGTCGTGTTCCTTGTTAGAGTTTCCGTGCACCTCTGTAGGACTCGCTAGTGTGATACTGAACACAATGCAACGACACAAACACACTGAAGTCTTTTGTCAATAGCACAATGTTTTTCTCTCCTCTTTGTACAGTGCAGTGTTTGAATACAGTCTTTAAATTAACAAACTGGGCGACCAAACAAAATATTTAATGACATGGCAGATAGAAGCAGCAGGTTTGTTGCGCCTTCAACAGCAATATGAAACAGGAAGTGACCAAACGTAACAGCTCACTAATATTTTGATGATAATTGGATATCATAACTGAGCTAGAATGTCAGTTTCCACCCCGTAACAACAATTATATTTCATGCCTGTTTTATATTTGAATGTACAACAACCTGTTCAACTGAGACTCTTCAGTTAGCTTAGCCAGCTAGCTAACACTATAAATCCAAACTGCTCCTGCTAGGTAATAATTTCTTGAATAAATGATGAGTCATCACTCTTTCATTCAAGCAATAAACTGTTTAGATGTACAGTAATTAAAAAGACTGTTGCTTCCTGTCACTTCAAGTCTTTTCATCTGTTATTTATTTACATTTTTAATGTTTGTGTTCTGAAAGCTGCTGCAGCACAGCAGATAAATTACAGAATTATTGTTTAGTTTTCAACATTTCAACAACACAGCAATCAAAAGTTATTTATAAGGGAGAACATATAAATAATCGCCAGGAAAGAATGTTAGCTTTGTGTGTTTCTGCAAACTACAGACAGGTTACATGTAGGCCTGCTGACAACACTGTGGGTAACATGTAGTTAGGTTTAGAAATGCAAAACAAAGAAATACTTCAAAACATCTATTTCAAGCAGGTGTGTAGGAGAGGGACGAGAAGAATAAAACTTGTAGAAAAGACTCCCGCACACTGACTAACTTGCAAAAATAATACATTTTAATGCTGCAACGTGCATGTGCAGTGGAAAGGCTAAATACCAAGCATCAATTAGTGTAACAATCAGCATTATTTGATTACATTACTTTACACTGCACATGGGTATTGTGATTAATTGCAAACTTACAGCCACGCTGTAAGATGACTGTTGGTTACAAAACTGTTTGCCTGATGAAGGTCTCGTCACCAAAACGTTGCAGCATTAAAATCATTTTGTTTTTTGCAAGTTAGACCATGTGGGAGAGTCTTTTCTACGAGGTTTAGTAAAAACACTGCTTGGTTATGGTTAGAAAAAGATCATGTTTTGGCTTAAAATACCCAGATTTGGGGAACAGTCATGGCTGGGAAAGAAGCAGTGTCTTGGTAAAAAAAAAAAAAAAAAAAAAAAGCACATTCATGCCACTATTCCAGGCTCCAAGGAATGCCGCCAAGCCTTGCAGCCAGTAATTTCCAGTGGCCACTTGGGATTTTGCTGCAAACAATTTCCCTGTGGCTCAAAAAGCCATTTACCCATAGACCACCATTATAAAAGAGACATCTGTAAAACTGTTCACCAGACACTCCAAACTGCAAACAAGGACAATTTTTTTCTATTCTGAAACGTTTAACCATGAAGATTTTATGTTTCTAAAACTGTCCTCAAGCCAATAAAAAGGATTTAAATTCTTCTTCAAGCCATGTGGGAACTTGTGGCAGGCAACTCCATTGGAATGAATAGGCGTCATCCTGGGGTCGGGTATTTAGTTAGCATTATCATATTAAAGTTCACGCACTATCCCTGCTGGAAAAACAGCAACAGGTCGCTAAAAAACACCCATGACTGGTGCCTAAAAAGCCACTGGAAATAATAATAATAATGATGATAATAATAATAATAATATAATAACCTTTATTTATATAGCACCTTTCATACGAGAAATGAAGTTCTGTACAATAAGGGCAGTATAAGCACTGAGTGCTTCACATGAAAATAGACATAATGGACATAAAACAGACAAACAAGGCAGTTTAATATAGAAGGACATTTAAGACAGTTTAAAACATGGATTAACTGATTCATGAAATCATAGAGTTGTAAAACTATAAATCATAAAATCAATTGAGATTTTCAAACAACAGCAATGACTTTTTTTTTAAGATTATTATAATCCAATTTTTTTAAAGGTTTTTTGGGAGGGGCTTTATTAGGTAGGACAGTCTAGGCATGAAAGGGGGAGAGAGGGGCTGACATGCAGCAGGTGGCAGCGTGCTTGAATTGAACCCATGGCCGCTGCAGCCTTCGTATATGGGGTGCCCGCTCTACCCACTAAATTACCACCCCCATAGCAGCGACTCGTTAAAAACAACCCGTTTTGGTATTTGTGGATCTTGAAAAGTGGTCTGCAATGGATATCACATCATCCACCATCCTCTCAGTCTTCTGATGGCAAGTCAGCTCATACACTACATCACTATAGAAACATCAATATGATGTGTATGAAACTAACAAATGTGACATATTCATGGTTTGCAGAAACAAACAATGCCAACATGTTCTTCATGTGACTGAGCTGGTATGTCCACATATTGTCTCCCCACTAGATTCTGTCGGTGAGGAGCGTTCAGCAGTGCATGTCTCTGGCAACAGTGATTAAACATGTTGAGCAGGATAAAGACAGGTAGCGGACAGAGACAGTTGTGATTTACAGTAGGTAGATAAAAATCCTACTGGGCTACAGTACAGAACCACTCATATCTAAATAAGTTAGGGGCCAGGATGTGTGACAAGAGGCTGAACTTTATAGTTCCTGTGGGTAAAATTATATTGAAGAAACAAATTAATAACATAACCAGGAAGAATCAATATTTATATATATATGTCTATGTTTTAATATATATTTGACATGGTTTTAGAGGCTATCTCAACTATATGAACAGTTATTTTCCTGCAGATTGCACAGACATTAAATAAACATTCTTAAATCTGTCATGTCATGCTCAGACCTATTGTCCATTATAAAAAAAGATTAATATTTTCTGTTGGCCTTAGGTTTGAACACCCTTGTATGTTTTGAATGTACAACCTAGCGGAAATATTTACATGCATTCAAATGTAGCACTGAATTACAGCGAAGAACCTCTGAGCAGACGATGAGGCACTATAGTCCGACCATAAAGGACACCGTGTACATGTCAGTAGACTTTTAGAATATATAATATAGAATAAAATGCACATTATTGTGACAATATTTTGACGAATTTTGCCTGAGTACTTATAAGCAAGTATTGGTACAGCTTAATGTACGTAAAGAGATTAACCTTAGTGTTGCAGTATTTTTAGAGGTCTTATTACTATGAAATCTAATATATATAATGTACTTCTATGAGTGTCACAGACTTTGATGACTTTGAGTGCAGGTTAGTTGTAATAACTTCACGTTTAGGTACGACAATCGATGTTTGTATTGTTTCTTGTTCATTTTATGAGATTGTTTCTCTTTGGTGGAACATTTTTATTTAAATCAGACCCGAAGCAGCGCGTTATACACACGCATACACACACACTGTAATTGTGTGTGTGGTACGGCAAATAAGCTGTATATTCTGTATTGGTATACCTGCTGCTGCTGAAAACTATGAAAACAATTTGGACACATTCAGATAACATTATATTCAAGACTAAATGTTCCACCAAAGGGATCAGGGCAAGTTTTTTTTGTTTGTTTTTTTAAATGGCTGTATAATTATTATAATTATTGTCTACTTGACAATACTTTTTACTGTTTGTAAATGTTAAATAATTGACATAGTTTTACAATAATGAATGTCTGACAGAGACTAGTTTTGTGGTGTTTTTGATATTTAAAAAGAATACATAATAATACATAATGTAAGCCTATTTGTGAATTATTGTAACAGAATGAATGCATATTTTGTCACTTTGTTAGATAGTGGAATATGAAGGCTGTAATGTCAGACCAGCACTCCATTTGTAATTAATTCAGTTACAGTTGTGTCTTAAAATCTTTTCAGCACTTAGATTTTCTTTTGTTTCAGTACTGATTTATTGAAAACCTGATTTCATGCAGGGGAAGACAAAGGAAATGAAACTCCTGTTTACAGGTTCAAACTAGATTTTAGGTTTTTTAGGTTTAGATATTTTAAAAATTGCCTAGAATCTAAGAAATACCACTAAATTTAAATAGCAGTAAGTTTTCATCCCCTTTTTCCAATTTTTTTATCTTTAAATCATACTTTCTCTTTTAGCTACAGTTTAAAAATGAAACTTTTTACTGAAACACATTTTATCAGATCTGGTCAAATGTCATGTCTGGAGTTTTTGTGCCAAAACCCATCGATGCATTTAAATAAGGTTTTAGGGCAACTTTTAAAGGGATAGTTTGGATTTTATGAAGCAGGTTTGTATGGGGTTCTTATCCATACTCAGTGTATTACATACAATAGATGCCTGCCAGTGCACCCCCAGTTTGGAGAAGTGTCAGGAGTACCGTCATGGAAGGTAAACAATGAACTGCTGTGGATGGGGTCAGCAACAAGCTGTGTTTTAGCCACCTAAATAAAGTCCCACCTAAAAATCAGTTTAAGTGTACGATATATAAGAGTATTTCACCTCTTTGCCTTTACGTCAGTCAGCCCATTCCAACAGGGAAGCTGATAAGGGCTTCAGTTCCTCATCTATACTCTCGCCAAAGCCACCAGACTCCATTGACAAAAATAGTCATTTTGGCTCATTGAGCACGGGCACTGCTGGTGTATTGCTGCTTTGATTAGTTAGATAGATTGTGTTATTGTGCGATGTTGGTGAATCCGAACTTACCCCTTTCAACGCCAAAGTCATACAGTAAAACAAATAAAATAACTGATTGAAGCAGCAATATATCGGCAGCTTCTGTGTTTGGCAATCTTAAATCACTGTTTTTCTCAATGGAGTCTGGCTTGAAAGAGAGTAATGTAATGGCTTCAGTTCCCCACTGGAAATTGCTGTCTGACAATAAGGTAAAGCGGTAACAATATTCTAAAAATAGCATACAATTATTGATTTTTTTGGGTGGGACTTTTTTAAAGTGGCTAAAATATGTTTTGTTGCTGACCCCTCCACAGCAGTACATTGCTTAGCTTCTGTGGCGGTACTCCTGCCTGCTTCTCCAAACTGGGGGATTGCTGATTGACATTTACTGTATGTAATAACAGAATATGGATAAGTACCTCAGTACCACGCCTCCGAAGAACCAAACTATCCCTTTAAAATGTCATAGCAAAAAAGAAAAAGTGATATTATCCTATAAATGTTCCTGACCCAAACATTAAAGCTACACTTTGAAACTAGTAGCTTGTAACAATGGCTACTGCTTGTCCAGAAAAAATAGTGCTGAAATGATTAGTAGTATAACCGTTTAGTTGATCAACGTATTGTTTGAGTCTTTCATCATGCAACTATGTCAAACATTCACCAGTTGCAGATTCTCAAATGCGCTGTTTTGCTGCTTTTCTCTATGACCGATGAATCAATTGGAAAAATACACAACAGATGAACTGATGATGAATTGTTTGTTCCATGCTCTTAATTTAGCTTCTTTTTTTTGCAGTTACTGAAATGGAAAAATTGTCTTTGCATATCCTAACTATCTTCATCCTGTTAAACAACCATCAGTAATAACTGTGTTTTGCCAGGAAATGTTTTACAGCAGGTGGTGATGCGAATGTGTTCTTTGACTCAGCTCTTGGGACTCTCTGCTGTAAACTTTTGTATTCAGACCCAGTAATAATCTCAATACGCTCGTCATGGCTACTGAGAGACACAACAGCACCAAAGCAAACAGCTGATCTCCAGTACTTGTTTTGGTTTCACAGCACTCAAAGAATGTTCTCCTTATTCTGCTGTGATGTTGGAGGTAGTGGATGTTTTATAGCTGAAATTTATTGCTTAGAGGTCTTATTGGATCATAGAAGACTGTTGTATCTTGAGACCAATAAAAAATGTGCAATAACAATTCGTCTCTTTGCCCGTTTTTGGCTCCTCCATTCTTTGATGTTGTCTTTAATACATACATTAAAGGAGGTCAAGAACTTTATGACATGTACATGCTCCTATTATCAGTTTGTGACGTATAAAGTTTGATTAAAGGTAATATATGAAACTTTGGTGAGCTTTAGGGGGGTGATGTCATATGGGAGCTCCCTATTAACAAAAAAGAAAAATCATGGCTTGTATAAAATCATGGCAGAATATGTTTTAAGTATGCCACTAAAATTTTGAAGAAAAAATGTCATGTTATAGTACGCAATAAAAAAAAAAAATCACAGTATACAGTAGTGTGATACATTTTAAAGAATCATAGTACAGTGTGAAGTAAAGATTTCATGGTATAGGATGTAATAAAATAAATGTAAAAGTATGGTATGTTAAAGAAAAGTCATAATATAGTATGTCATAAAAAATATAATAATATAGTTTGCCTAAAAAAATCTAAATATCTTATACCATAAAAATGTCACAGTATAGTATGTAAAAAAAAAGTCATAGTATAGAATGTCAAACAAATCAGTGTAGTATGCCAGAAGAAATGTCATAGTATATTGTTAAATAGATCATACTATAGTGTGCCCCCCCCCAAAAATCATAATATAGTATGCCAAAGAAATGTCATAATATAGTTGTTTTTTTTTGTTTGTTTTTTTTTTAAAAACATAGTATAATGTGTAAAAAAAAACATAGGTTAGTTTGCCAAAAAAATCACAATACAATATGCCAAAAAAGGTCAAATATGATAGATAAAAAAAAATACAAAAATCATAAGATAGTATGTCAAAAAAATCACAATATGATATGCCACAAAACAAATTCATAGTGTAGTAGGTCAAAAAAATGTCAAGGTATAGTATGTCAAAACATTATAATACAGTAGATGATAAAAATGTCATTGTATGGTATGCCAAAAATATAGCATGGTAAGCCAAAAAAAATGTCATAGTATGGTATGTCAAAAAACTTTTAGTGTGGTATGCCAAAAGACATACTATAATGTGTCGTCATTTTTTAATCAAAAAAGTCAGTATAGTATGTTCTTAATTTTTTTCCATAAAATAGTCTTACTATAGTATGTTGTCATTTTTTCATAGGAAACATCATAGTGTTGTTATTTTTTCATAAAAAAGTCATTGTATAGTTTGTCGTTTTTTTTTCCATAAAAAACGTCATAGTATAGTATGTCGTTATTTTTTAATCAATTACGTCATAGTATAGTATAGTATGTCATAATTTTTTCCATCAAAACTTCATATTGCATTATGTCATTATTTTTTCATCAAAAACGTCATAGTATAGTATGTCATCATTTTTTCATCAAGAACGTCATAGTATAGTATGTTATCATTTTTTCATAGAAAATTCATAGTATGGTATGTTGACTTTTTTTCATAAAAAACATCATAGTATAGTATGTTGTCATTTTTTTCATCAAAAACCTCATAGTTTAGCATGTCGTCATTTTTTAATCAAAAACGTCGGAGTATAGTAAGTCGCTATTTTTTTCATAAAAGCAGTCATAGTATAGCATGTCGTTATTTTTTCATTAAAAAAGTCATAGTATAGTATGTCGTTATTTCTTCATCAAAAATGGCATAGTATACCATGTCGTCATTTTTTTTAATCAAAAACGTCATAGTATAGTATGTCGTTATTTTTTTCATAAAAAACATCATAGTATACTATGCTGCTATTTTTTTCAGAAAAGAAAGTCATAGTATAGTATGTCGTTATTTTTAATCAGTTACGTCATATTATAGTATGTCATCATTTTTTCCGTTAAAAATTCATATTGTAGTATGTCATTATTTTTTCATCAAAAATGTTATAGTATAGTATGTCGTTATTTTTTGATTAAAAAATTCATAGTATAGTATGTCGTCAATTTTACATCAAGAAATGTCATAGTATAGTATGTTATAATTTTTTCATCAAAAACGTCGTAGTATAGTGTGTCATCGTTTTTCATCAAATACGTCATAGTATCATGTGTTATCATTGTTTCATAGAAAATTCAGAGTATGGTATGTCGACTTTTGTTCATCAAAAATGTCATAGTATAGTATATCGTCTTTTTTTATCAAAAAAGTCATAGTATAGCATGTGGTCATGTTTTTCATAATAAAAAGTCATAGTATAGTATGTGGTTATTTTTTCATTAAAAAACTCATAGTCGTTATTTTTCAAAAAAAAAAAAAAGTCATAGTAAAGTATGTCGTTATTTTTTTCACGAAAAACGTCAGACTATAGTATGTCACTTTTTTTCATAAAAACAGTCATAGTATAGTATGTCATAATTTTTCATCAAAAATATAATGGTATCGTATGTTGCTATTTTCTTTCATAAAAAAGTCATAGTATAGTATGTCGACTATTTTTCATCAAAAACGTCATAGAATAGTATGTTGTTATTTTTTCATAAAAAAGTCATAGTATAGTATGTCTTTTTTTTCATCAAAAACGTTAGAGTATAGTATGTCATTATTTTTTTCATCAAAAACGTCAGAGTATATTATGTCATTATTTTTTCATAAAAAAACGTCACTGTATAGTATGTCAATTTTTTTCATCCACAACATCATAGTAGGGGAGTTGGTGGCTTAGTGGTAGAGCAGGCACCCCATGTTCAAGGCTGTTGCCGCAGCGGCCCAGGTTCGACTCCAACCTGTGGCCCTTTACCGCATGTCATTCCCTCTCTCTCTGTCTCCCCCTTTCACACTTGACCTTCCCATAAATGAAAGGCAAAACTGCCCAAAAAATATCTTACAAAAAAAATCATAGTATAGTATGTCATAATTTTTCATCAACAATGTCATAGTATAGTATGTCACCATTTTTTTCATTAAAAAGTTATAGTATAGTATGTCGACTTTCTTTTCATCAAAAACGTCATAGTACAGTATGTTATCATTTTCTCATCAAAAATTCATAGTATGGTATATCGACCTTTTTTTCATCAAAAACGTCATAGTATGGTATGTTGTTATTTTCTCATCAAAAACGTCATAGTATAGTATGTGGTTATTTTTTTCATCAAAAACGTCATTGTATACTATGTCGTCATTTTTTAATCAAAAACATCATAGTATAGTATGTTGTTATGTTTTTCATAAAAAAGTCATAGTATAGGTTGTCATCATTTTTTCATCAAAAACGTCATTGCAGAGAATGTCGTTATTTTTTTCATAAAAAACGTCATACTATAGTATGTCGACTTTTTTCATCAAAAACGTCATAGTATAGTATGTTGTTATTCCTTCATCAAAAACATTATAGTATAGTAGGTTGTTATTTTTTCATCAAAAAACGTCATAGTATAGTATTCAGTAATTTTTTCATCAAAAACATTACAGTATAGTATGTTGTTATTTTTTCATTAAAAAAGTCATAGTATAGTATGTCGTTATTTTTTTGATTTAAAAGTCACAGTATAGTATCTTGCTATTTTTTTCATCAAAAAAGTCATAGTATAGTATGATTATTTTTTCATTAAAAAAAGTCATAGTATTGTATGTAGTTATGTTTTTCATCAAAATGTCAGAGTATAGTATGTCGTTATTTTTTTCATCAAAAAAGTCATAGTATAGTATGACTATTTTTTCATTAAAAAAAGTCAGAGTATCGTATATAGTTATGTTTTTCATCAAAAACATCAGAGTATAGTATGTCGTTATTTTTTTCATAAAAAAAGTCATAGTGTAGTTTGTCGTTATGTTTTCATAAAAAAGTCATAGTATCGTATGTAGTTATGTTTTTCATCAAAAACTTCAGAGTATAGTATGTCGGGTTTTTTTTTCATAAAAAAGTCATAGTGTAGTTTGTCATTATGTTTTCATAAAAAAAGTCATAGTATAGTATATTGTGATTTTTTTCATAAAAAATGTCGAGTACCGTATATCGCTATTTTTCTTTCATAAAAACAGTCATAGTATAGTATGTCGTTATTGTTTCATCAAAAGCATCATAGTATAGCATGTCGTTATTTTTTTCATAAAAAAGTTATAGTATACGTTGTCATCATTTTGTCATCAAAAATGTCATAGCATAGCATGTCGTTATTTTTTTAATCAAAAACGTCATAGTATAGCATATCGACTTTTTTTCATCAAAAACGTCATAGTATAGCATGTTGTTATTTCTTCATCAAAAAAATCATAGTATAGGATGTAGTTATCTTTTTTCTTAAAAAAAGTCATAGTATAGTATGTCATTTTTTTTTCATGAAAAACATCATAGTATGTCGCTTTTTTTCATAAAAACAGTCATAGTATAGTATGTTGTTATTTTTTCATCAAAAGCGTCATAGTATAGTAAGTTATTTTTTGATAGAAAATATGTCATTATTTTTTTCATAAAAACACTCATAGGATAGTATGTGGTTATTTTTTCATAAAAAAAAGTCATAGTATAGTATATCGTCATTTTTTTTTTATCAAAAACGTCATAGTATAGTATGTAATTAATTTTTTAACCAAAAACATCATAGTATAGTATGTCATTATTTTTTTCATAAAAAAAGTTATAGTATAGGTTGTCATCAAAAACGTCATAGTATAGTATGTCATAATTTTTTTCATCAAAAACGTCAGAGTATAGTATGTCGCTTTTTTTTCATAAAAACAATCATAGTATAGCATGTCGACTTTTTTTCATAAAAAACGTCATAGTATAGTATGTCATTATTTTCATAAAAAAAGTCATAGTATAGTATGTCGTTATTTTTTCATAAAAATATGTCATAGTATACTATGACATCATTTTTTTTAATCAAAAATGTCATAGTATAGCATGTGGTCATTTTTTTCATAAAAAACGTCTAATAGTATCTCGACTTTTCTTCATCAAAAACGTCATAGTATAGTAGGCAGTTATTTTTTCATTAAAAAAAAGTCATAGTATGATGTTTTTTTCATAAAAACAGTCATAGTATAGCATGTCATTATTTTTTCATAAAACAACGTCATA